TGGGGCCTGTAGAAAGACATAGACAAAATATTTCCTGGCTCCGAGTCTCTAACTTTCTATTAGTCGACATAGCATACCCCAGGTAGGAGACTTGACCTCCCCAGCTAACATGATGAGTTCATAGGTAGCACATGGCTTCTGTTTGTTGCTATTCCCAGATCCAGAAGCAAACAAATACTAGGGCAAAACTGATGGGTAAACGTGAAGCCCATGAACTCGGGTCATTTTCTCAATACCAGGGTTTGACCCCAGAACGGGAAATGGCTCTCTAGGCAGTTGGAAAGCTGAATGATCTCATTTTTACAGATGATCAGATTCCAAACATTTAACTAATGTTGGCTCAGTTAAAAAAGGTTTTTTTTTTCTTAAACTCCACCCATATATCTGAAATGTCACCACGATTATAGCTGAAATATTCTCAATGAAATCCTCATAGAAATGTAGCCAGTCTTTCTCACAATGATATAGATGTTTTCTAAAGCCAAACAGTCCTCACATTTATACTATATGGCATGAAAAGTAATGGTACCATACTGTACTGACTTGCACATTTGAAAATAGCTAATTTAAGAGGATTTTCCATAAATTTTTTTCCATATTTGCCACATGGGTTTACTGCCCACCTTGTTAAAATCCAATGAGAGAAATACTGTAAGAGTAAATTGATCAGTTTTCATTGATTCATTATTTTCTAATACATTTTATACTCCATTTCAAATTATTACAGCAAAAAGGACATCTATTAAAAAAAACAAAATGTATATTATTCACAAATAAATTATTATTATTATTAAGAAGTTAATTATATTAATAAATAACTCAAACTCATAACACAGCTGCCTTTAAGTGACCGTATTTTCCCTCACTAAGGCTCTAAATATAATTCAAAATTCCAGTAATTCAAAATTATGTCTAAGGACAAAAATGACTCATGGTACATCACAGAAGAAAGTAGTGAGTATGTGAACCAGAGGAAAGGGGCACCAGCTCTGGAGTCAATCTGGTTTCAGACTGTGGCTCTATTGCTGGGCAATTCACTTTTTCTCCACAGGACTCAGTTTTCTCATCTGTAAAATGAAACATTTGCTATAGAAACCTCTGAGGTTTTTTCTAGCTCAAGATTTATGAGCTATGATCTTATTATATAGAAGATAGCTCATGTCTCTGCAGAGTTCACCTCCATGCCACCACATAGTCATTCCCAGCAAGGTCCAAGTGCCAGTGACATAGGACCTCATTCCTCTATTTGATATCATCCAGACAAGAATGAACAAAGTGTTGTGTGCTATAAGAATTGTTCCCAGGTGATGAAGCTCCTACAGGTGCTAAGATGTGTTTAATGTAATCCATTTTTATTAAATTCAATCAGTACTTTTAAATGCCCAGCATGTATCAGGCATTGTGCTGAGCACTGACATGGACATGCTTTTGGACATATTGTTATGAAGACCGAATCTGTACTGGAATGAAAGGCAGTGATGTGTCCCAGGCTTGCTGCTGTAGGTAAAGCTATCTATAGATTCATCAAAAGGCCCCTGACCCCTGTATTTTTTTAATTCCTTTCATATTTTACCTATTTTTTCTGTCTTCTTCCCTGCTCTCAGACTTCCCATTGCCACTTTTTGCATATTGTTTTTCGCACCTCTGACTTTACGGCTTTTCACGTCTCAGGGCCTTCTAAATGAGATCAGTTGGCTGAGCAATCTTGGAAGCTTTGTTAGGCGTCAAGAGCCTCTTGGTGAGTTACTCAACAAATAATTGGAAACTTGTGGTGGGTTTGGGCGCATTAGTTCTGGGTAGTCGTTGTTTCTGAAGCAAACCAATGACATGACGGATGGTGTCTTGACTCAACACACGAATTGGATTTAAGTGAGGCAGAGTTGCACAAAGGCGTCAGCTTTACTCTCTCTGTTCCAGAGTCATCAATGTCTACTGGCAAGACAGAGGTCAAGATAACAGATAATGCCCCGGGACACAGTGTATGACCTCAGAATCTTCAGTGTCTGACCAAGCTCTAAGCACTGCACAGCGCCTGCTTCAGCCTCCTTCATGGTATCGGAACAAATTGTTCTCATCTTCCCATACCACCTGGGGAAGTCTTCATATGCTTGGGGTAGACATCCCCCTGACTCACTGGTGGGTTTGAGGCCTGTTGGTTACCATCAGCTTGGTTTAGCCCATTTGTCAAGACAGCTTTCCTGGAGTGTGGTCGATGTATAAGCTACAGCTGCTTGGAGCCACAAGTGAGAGTTGAGCGACTGGTGGACACCAAAGGTGGAAGTGCAGCCCTGAAAAGGACTCCACTGGCCTCATGTCAGTGGTGGTAGCCCTTCCTGAACACCCCAGGCACCCCAAAGAGATGAAATGACTTATACAAGGTCAGAGAAATAGGAAGTGGCAGAGGCAGGATTTGAACCCAGGTTCTCTGATTTCAAACCCATCTGGGAAATAAGTTATGCCACCTAAGTGAGATGTTAACGGTGGTGTATGGCTTATCTGGTTTGACAACCAGTTCTCTGAAAAAAAAAATATACGTGACCCATGTTTAAATTTACTCTGATTATCATTATCTTCTCTGTCATTTAAGACTAGACAATCAGCAAAACAATGTCAATCCCTGATGTGTAGCATTTGTATATTTCGGAAGTATAAGTGTTCACAATGAAATTTTAACAATTGGATCTCACAAGCCTACGAGAGCTGGCTCCAGCACACTCCTGGATGCTATCATCCCTCAAAACAAATAACCAAATGAACAAACTATATACATATATTTGTGTGTGTGTGAATGTATGTGTACATGTGTATGTATGTATACACACACACACACACACACACACACACATACACATATATACATATAAAATTTAGTTTTAGAAGGAGCATTCCTTCCAAATTGCTCCCACCTGAAAGCTCTAAATTGCATGGGAACTAAAATCAGTTTCCACCAGGGAACTTCAATTTCAGAGATAAGACTGGGCTCTCAATACCATAAGTAGTAGTGATGAAAAGACAATGGTGATAAATAAGGGAATTACTAATAATAATTTACATTGATATAGTGTTTTAAAGCTTAGAAGAGCTTAACAAACATTACTTGATGTGAGCCTCAATGCAACCCTGTGAAGTACTAGAGATAGGATTATTTCCATTTTACAGGGTGGACAACTTAGTCATTATGTGACTTGTCCAGGGTCACCCAGCTGGCAAATTTCAGACACAGGATTTGAGTCCAGGCCTCTCTTGACTACGGAGTTCTATCCACTCTGCCATGTTATCATCTTAGTCAACAAATATCATAGCCCCAATGACCATGAATAGGTAAACAAGAAAATCACAGCAGCAACAATAGCCAGTGTTTATGTAATGATTTGGGGTTTGCAAAGCACTTTACACATGTTATTTCATTTTGTCCTCACCAAAACCCTTCTTGGTAGATGCTACTGTTATCTCTACCTAACAGCTGAGAAAACGAAGCAGACAGATTAAGTGACTTGCCCAAGGTCATACAGCTGGTAAGGATCTGAGGCATGATTTGAATTCTGTTCTTTCTGGCTCTAGGTCCAGAATTTTATCTTCTGTGATGTCCAACAGCTATGAAACCTCCATAGCACCACCCAGCTGTACCATATATATCTGTGGTCCACTCAGGGAGATTATTCCATTTCACTGCTAGCTATAACTGGACTAGAATATAAGAAAAGACTGCTTTGCTTGCCGGGGGAAACAAAGTGCCTCCCTAAAGGATATTTCAGGAACTTCCTTATAATCATGGCAGCTTTGTAGGTAACCATAAGGTTGCTAAGATCATGGTACAATGGTCATGGATTTGTTGACCACAGAAAAGCTATTGGCTTTCTGCTCCTGAAATACCAGGTATCATTGTTTCTACCAACTGTGAGTCATCCTTATTCCTTTCCCATGATTTATGACTGAAAGCCTGAGAGATGGTGAAAGGAACCTATATCACACTCCCAGCTCACATATAATATAAACCAAACTGTGAAAAGCTTGTAAATGTCACTGTATCAGTTTCATGACAAAAAAAAAATGAGGAAGTTCAAGAGGGTGGGCAAGAAACCAGCCAGATGAGTTTCGTATTCACGTAACTGCCAAAGCAGCATTGATGCCATTTTAACTGTGAAAGTATATTCCCTCAGTTTAAGTTAATGGCCAGCAATTAAGCAAAGGTGATTGATGATTCTTGTTAGTCAATCTATGCCTGCCATGAGGAGACAGGGTTTATTGGTAAACTGTGGGTTTGATGTCATGATTAAGAAAGATTTCAATAGCACAATTTCCACCCCACCACACCCCTGCCAAAGTTGGCTTTCCAACATCTTGTTACCACAGAGGAGAACCATGTCCAAAGTGTGATGATCTTGTCATCTTCTTTTATAGGCTCCCAGATCTCCTTGGGACCTTAGAGGTCAACTTCTCCAATCCCCCTATTTTACAGATTCAGACATGATGGCTCAGAGAACAGAACTGGCTTGTCTATGGACTCTCTTAGCCAAAGACCTCATCGTCATCTATTGTTCAAGGTTGATGAGACTGATCATTGGATGATGGGAAATATTCTATCATGCTTATGCTCAAAGTCTTTCCAACCTTGGAGAAGTAGCCACAGGAGGAAGATATCCCTGACTACTGACAAAATCATCAGCTACTTAGAACAGGAGCAACCCACATAGCCTAATGACACAGAAAGAGAAGAACAGAGATGCCAGGACAGCAGAGGAAGTCTGCAAATTTCTGTAACCCCAGTGTAGCCACTCGGTTTTTTGTGCATTATTACAAAGATATTGAATGCCTTTGGAACAAAGAGTGTCAGGAAAGTTTTCTCCAATGTTGCCATCCCCTGTTTTACAAAATAGCACACTAACACAAACACACACATTTGTATTCACATTAATACAAACACACTAGCAAGTGCTTGAAAAGAAACACAGCTGATCTCAGATGGAGAGACTGGCAAATAACAACGGTGGAGGTTTTACCTTTTTGTGGTTCTTGTAAACATTTCTGTGGGCAAATCCCTTGCCACAAAGCTTGCATTTGTAAGGTTTGTCTTCACTGTGTATGATTTTGTGTGCGGCCACCTGATCGATTCGTTTGAAGGACTTATTACAAACCTCACAGTTGTAGGGACGTTTTTCTGCAGAAAAGCAGGGGAGAAGTTTAATCTCCTGTTTATACAGGAGTACAGGATGAAACAAAAAAGCAGGCCTTCCCTCAGCTACATTTATTGCAAATAAGTTTACCTAATTACGCAATCGGAGAATCTCTGGTTTGGCAGGGACCTCAGCAGCAGCTAGCCCAGCATTCACTCAACATTCTTAGGATTATAGATTTAGAACTGGAAGGGACTTTGACATCAGAGTCCAATTTCCTCATTTTACAGATAAAGAAACTGAGGCCCAGAGAAATTTGTCCAGTGTCACATAGCTAGCAAGTATCTGAATGAAGATTTGAACTCACGTCTTCCTGACTCAAGTCCAGCATCATTCTATCTACTACACCACAGTGACACCTAGTGGCCATTCATTCAATGAGCCATTATTAAATTCCTACTATGTGTCAGGGCAGCTAGGTGGTGCCATTGTGGATAGAGTACCAGGCCTGGGTTCAGGAAGACTCATCTTCCTGAGTTCAAATCTGACCTCAGACACTTGCTGGCTGTGTGACCCTGGGCAAGTCACTAAACTTTGCCTCAGTTTCCTCAACTGTAAAGTGAACTAGAGAAGGAAATGGCAAACCACTCTAGTATCTTTGCTAAGAAAATCTCAAATGGGTGAAGAGTCAAGTACAACTGAAACAAATGAACCACAGCAACAGTACCATGTGGCAGGGATACACAGAGAACAACAGAAACTATCCCTTTCTTCAAAAAGCTTTATATACTCATGGGATTTTACCATCCACCTTTGTTTGAAGTCCTCCCATGAGTAAGAAACCTCCTCCTTCCAAGGTGTCCCATTCCACACTGGCATAGTTCTCCCTATTTGGAATTTATTCCTTGATAATAACAGCTGACATTTCCGTAGATCGTTAAGGCTTACAAAACACATTGGTCACATTATCTCATTTGATTTTTCCAACACCTCTAAGAAGGCTGCAGGTATTACTACCCGTATTATAGAGATTATTAAGCTGAGGCCAAGAAAGGTTAAATCACTTGTGCTAGGTCTCAGAGCTAATCAGTGTAGGACAGAGAATGGAAGCCCAGAGGCCAACTGGTTCTAACTCTGGGGTTTGGGGTTTTCACCACTGCATAGGTTAGGCCTGCCTCTCTCTACAAATTTCACCCTCCCTTCCCTAAGAGGCCAAGCAGTCTTTTGTCTGTTCCCCATGGCAGCCCTTCAAATTCCTGATGCCATTCATCATGTTTCCCCATAAGTTTTCTCCTCTCCATGCTAGGCCTCATCAGTTCCTCTAGCTTATCCTCATGCAGCCAGGTCTCATGGCTGGTGTCCATTCTGGCTCCTTCTCTGGACAATCCCTAGTTCATCAGTGCCTTTGACACATGCAGTGAACAAACACTCAAGGGAAGCTAGATGATCCAGAGCCAGGCCTGGAGTCAGGAAGACATGAGGTCAAATACTTATTGGCTGTGTGACCCTGGGCAAGTCACTTAACCTCTGTTTTACTCAGTTTCTTCATCTGTAAAATGGGTATAGAATTGTCATAAGGAGCAAGGGAGATAATAATTGTAAAGTGCTTAGCACAGTGCCTGGCCCATAGTAGGCACTATGTAAATGTCATCTATTATTATTATATCAGATCCAGACTGACATATAGCAGAACTTTCCCCTCCCATGTTGAGTCTCTAGGTCTCTCCTAGTGAAGCCTGAGATCACATTAACATTAAAAGAGGCAGTATGGTATAGTAGGTAGAGTGCTAGAACTGGAGTCAGAAAGACCTGGGCTTGAATCTGTCCTCATATACTTAGTAGGCATATGATACTGGGCTGGCCAAGAAATTTTTCTCAGTCTCAGCTGAATCATCTGTAAAATGGGAATAGTAGTAGCATTTGCCTCACAGACATGCTGTGAGAATCGAATAAGTCATGTACAAACCAAAAAATGCAATTGAAATTTGGGTTACCCTAATTATCTGAAAGATGTGTAATGGCACATGACCATAAATACATAGTCTTATGCAAAACCATCTCTTTAACCACATTCTGATTTTTTAGCTTAAACCAAAAGAGCTTCACTTCAAAGGGACAGCTTTACGATAACAAATGTAAAAGCAGATATAAGTTTAAACACTTTCACATTCAATTAAAATAATTATTTTTTATTAGTTTTCAAAATAGTCACTGCCTCGAAGCAATGACTTCAGTTTATAGTCTTCATCACCAAAATAAATTCTCTAAGAAAACTAAGATTAAAGTTTTGATGTCTAAACTTTCAAAGGAAATAAATATAAAAAAGCAAAGTAATTTAAATAATTGAATTCAAAATCATTCCCAAGACAGGCCTAATTAGAATGTTTTCATTTCAAAAAAAAATTTTGTATGTGTATACATATGTGTGTGTGTGTGTGACACACATACAGCTGAGTATCTGAGTGTGGTAGTGCCCCAATACAATTACTGCTTCTACGGAAGCTGAGGCTAGGGGATCACTTGAGCATGGGAGTTGGAAGCCACTGCAGCAGGGCTAAGCAGACTTGGTGTCAGCACTACTATGGTGAGCTTTCCAGAGGGAGGAGACTGTCTCAGAAAGGGCAAATCAGTCCAAGTCAGAAATGGAGCAGGTCAAAACTCCCGTACGGCTCAATATGGGACTGAGCCTATAAGTAGGTGTTGTTACATTTCCAAGTCCAGCAAGATAGAGAGTACCAGGTTCAAAAACCAAAGTATTTAAGGCATTGCAATGGTCATCAAAGCTTCTGAAAATGATTTAAAAAAAAAAACTTCCATAAGAATAGCTATATAAATAGAAAAAGGGTGTAACTTACCTGAATGGGTAATCATGTGACGTTTTAGCTGATTGGGAGTAATAAATTTCTTGTTGCATTCCTGACATTCAAAGATCTCATGGACCTGCAAAATGAAATGTTAACAGGCATTTAACCATGTGACTAAAAGAACAGCTCCTAGTGGAGATATGCCAAAGTGAGCCAACGGCACAAAAAAGTTTCGCCATTGTTATATAACATGTAAACTAATACATCTCCAATTATTTAGCTCTCCCTTCATTTGTGATGATAGCTTTATAGTTGCAATGTAATTTCTGTGGATGTTCTGGTATCTGGACTCCCAGATAGTTTACCCATTGTGTAGTTATTTTGAATGGAATTTATCTCTACTTCTCCAAACCTAGGCCTTTCTTTCAGTTTCAATTCAATATTTTATTGTTATTATTTTTTCTCTCTGTTCTATTATCTATCTCTTTTAAAATTTGTATTTTGTTCACTTTTTTAAAAATGTGTTGCTTTTCAAATATTTGTTTTGCTTTGTGCCCAAATCCAACAATCTCTTCTATCTCTTTGTTTAGAAATATATGTTTTCCAAATGTTAAAAAAAAAAATTGTTTTCCCATGCAACTGGGAAATAAGATATACAGGCAATGGGGTATAGAAATCTATACTGCCCTACAGGAAAATTGAAGGGGAAGGGAATAAGAGAAGTGGGGTGCAGATAGAAGTGAGGGCAGATTAGAGAAAAGGGTATTCAGAATGCATGCCATCTCAGGGTGGGGGAAGGGATGAGATGGGGAGAAAATATGGAACTCAAAATCTTGTGGAAGTGAATGTTGAAAACTAAAACTAAATAAATTAATTAAAAAATTAAAATTTACATATACATATACATATATATATATATATATGTATGCATGTTTTCCCCTAGGGGCTTCTTGTTTTGCATTTCAAAAGTTTAGGTATGTGAGCTCATTGTTGTCATTTTACATGAAATCATGTATTGTTTTTATGATTTGTTCCTTGACACCAATTTTTTTTAGCATTACATTAATTTCCACTTAAGTTTGAAACCAACCTTCAAAAGCCCTACATTGATTGTAATTTTTTACTGCTTTATGATAGATAAAGGATGTGTTCATTATTTCTGCATTTCTACATTTATTTACAAGGTTGTTACGCATTTCTGTAAGAGATATTTTTTGCTGGGCATTCACAAGGTATGTGACCAACATTGTATGCACTGATTCCCCTGCCCAGTCTACCGCAGTATCAAAAACGAAATGTGGTTAGTAGGTTATGATTTATTTGGGTGACCTCATGGCTGGTTCCAACTGACAGCTATCTCCCTTTAAAAGTGCTGATAAAGCACTCATAAAGTTCACCATCTACTATCTGCAAAAACTTTCTTCCAGTTTAAAAAAAATGAGGCAACCTTCTCTTGCACTGATTCTTTAGGCATCTGTCCCATTCTTCACTATTCCTCAGAATTCTTGACGGTGGTTCAGTGATCACATCTGCAATTTTTTTCACTGCTCTGGGATGAAATTTATCCAAGCCAGGAAACCTGAACCCAGTTAAATCATTTTGGTGCCCTCTTATCATCTTTTTTTATCTACCAGGAGATTATATTCTTTCAAACACATCTACTCTTTCCAATCACAAGATAATGAATAAGATAAAAGAAAAGCAATAGCTTGATTTCACTTTCTACTGTCTAGGACCATTACATCATCTACCCAAAGCAGCACGCCTCCCTACTCTGTTCTTATTAATATTATTAACATATCTAGAAGAGGCCGTTTGGTCATCTTTAGCATTATTCAGAAGGTTCTGGCCCTCGCTCTCCTTCATATATTACTCTTCCAGGTCCATCTTTTTCTTCTATACCTAACCTTGGTAATAAGCCCCAGATTCCACTCAATGTACCTGGCCTTTTTGGCACTAAGACCTTTGGAATGTTTCCCTTGCAGCTACATTGATCTCTTTGGACCCTTTCCTCTTCATTAGAATAATTAACAAATGAAATGCAGCATCAGAATCTGGTTTTTTTAAACTTTCTATCCCTCTTAGAGATCAAGTGTTACTATTCACATCACAGAATTGATCGCCTAGCCTTTCCCTCTCATTGATTTTAAATTGGAAGCAAGTAAGAAGTTTATAACATAACTTCAGTTCATAATAATTAGTTGTACTCAATTATATTTATAGAATTATTTATATTTTATTTTCTATTTTACATTTTATTTGGTTTGCTTTATATCGATGTTGTTTACTATGTATATTTTCGTTAATTATAGTTAAACTTTAATTTATTATAATAATTATTATAAACCTTAGTTGATAATTTATCTTATGACTTCAGTTTATAATAATCATATATGTTATAAATTTTTCTTCATAATAATTAATTCTCCTTTTTACAAGAAGGAAAAACAATTAAAAATAACTTATAGTTATATAACGCTTTAAGATTTACAAAGAACTTTCTTCAAAACTACTCTGTGAGGCAGGCATAAAAGCACTACCAACCCATGAACAATGTGGACCTATATTAGCTACTTCAATGGGACAGGAGATCCTTGAGGACCAAGGCTATTTCATTTTGACTTTTGTATCCCCAATAACTGGTGAGGTAGTTGGCACATGGCATTTGATAAATGCTTATTAACTATTCATTGATTTAATTCAATTAAAATCAACAAACATCATGTTAAACATGTCTTTTGGAACACAGTTCCAAAAACTGAATGCCAATTAATATGTTGGGCGTGTACTACGAATAATGCGTTTCTAGCAAAAATATTTTCAGTAATTGTAGGTCCTTTACCTATAGGCCGATGAAAATATCATAAGAGGTAGACAAAATGATAGCGACAGTAATAAGAAATCATTACTAACCTTTATGTAGTTTAAGGCTTTCATAAGATTTTACAACTTTAACCTCATTTGATTTGATCTTTATAAGAACCCTTGTAAGACAGATGCTATTATTATTCTCATTTTAAAGACAAGGAAAGTATTAATGAGAGTGGCTCAGTGATTTGTCCAGGGGCACACAGTTTGTTAAGTGTCTGAGGAGGATTTGAACTCAGGTCATCTTCTAATACTTGAAAAGATGCCTGGGTTCATCAGTAAGCAGCATCTCCACTGAAGCAGGGCACAGTGCTTTAACACTATCCAATCATCTCCTTGAATTGTTATGGCCATTAGCAGTGATGAGTCCAGCTTAGCAGGGTGACCCCAGGGGAAAGTGCAATTGAATGGGGGATGCTGACTTGGCATCATGGGACCTGCATGGGAATCCTGGCTCTACCATTTATTTACTCCATGTGACCTTGGGCACTTAATTTGATCTTAATTCCCAGGGGCCTCAGTTTCCTAATTCCACCTCCAGATCATTTATCCTATGATATTCTTTAACGTGTTAGGATCTTTCAGAGCTTGACATGGGGAGGGAGGTGGGGGAGGTATAAAAACCTGTCAATGAATTTGGAACCATCACCAAATACTAGGGAAGCTTTGTCTTTAATGAATCACAACAAAAGTAAAATAAATAAACTTCTTTGGATTTTGCTTACTTTCACTGATGCCATCCATATCCTCCCTGGTATTAGGTTATTAGAGGAAATGGAAGGCTTCTGCTCAATCTGATAAACAGGGTATCAGTTTAGGAAACTAGATCTCCTGCACTATGGGGTGTGGGGGTAGACAGAAAGTTAATTTTATGAGCCCTTCCTGTGGGACTGATAAAACTAAGCCCTAATGACATCATCTGCTAATATTTCTGACTAAATAATCACATGAACTCATTTTCAAAGCATATTTTTAATATGAAAAATCAGTAAGATAAGTTTTGTACGTATTACTAAGGAATAAAGTTTTTTTCTGTCATATTTTCTGCCAAAAAAAAAAGATAGTATGGGGTCTTGGATAGAGTGCTGGGCTTGAAATCAGGGAGATCTAGGGTCAAATCCTGCCCCTGACATTACGTGTCCCTGGATAAGTCAGAAATCCTACCTACCTCAGGGGCATAGGACTTTTCTACTAAATCATAGACAGGGCCCAGAACTATGATTTTATTGGCATTGGTAGCTCTCTGAGAGAACTTTCTCTATCAATGCCATTCATTCACTGGTCTGCAATTTAGAGAAGTGAACAATTCTGAAAGACTCAAGAACTCTGAGGGATGCAATGATTAATCAAAATTCCAGAGGACCAGAGATGAAGAATGCTAGCCACCTCCTGATGGAGAGGACTAGTACCTTTAGTAATGGACTAATTGCATAGAAAGAGCCACACATTTAGGGACGTGGCCAACATGAGGAACTGATTTTGCTTGACTATGCATTTTGTTACAAGAGTTTTCTTTTTCTTTCTCCCCAATTAGTGGGAGGGGGAGGAAAAAATGAAAGTTTGATCATTTTTTAAATATATTTAAAAAGAGAGAACTGAATTTGGATAGAGTCAGAGAACCTGAATTCAAATGCTATTTTTGTCACTTATGGTCCCTGTGACCTTGAAAAAGTTAACGAGTCCTCATTATGAGGGTTGGGGGGCAGGAAGACATGAGAGGAGAATGTTGAACCAAATGCCTTCTGAAGTGCTTTCTATCATCCTCAGTGGGCTGTTAATTCGATCATAAAACTTTCTATCAATATGAAATTTTATTTCTTGTTAATTTAGTTTTTAATTGGCTTGCACACCAATTCACAATTTGAAAAGATTCTGACATGATAATTTTCTTTTCAAATTTATCATTCCTTTCCTAGAACATATACAATCATTATTAATAAACAGGGCTTTTTGTTTCTTTGTTTTCTGGTTTGTTTTTGTTTGGGGTTTTTGGTTTTTCTTTTAGCTCACACGTTGGTATGAGCGCTGAATGCTCCCAAGGTCTCAGAGTTATCACAGTGAAATCAAAACCTAAGGAGTCTCATCCTCAGTCTTACCAACCTTCCGGTGCTCCTGAAGAGTCGATGATGAAGAACACTTCTTACTGCATACTGTACACATAAGCTTCTTCCTGGAGTTTCCTGAATCAGAAACAAATACAACCATGGGCTTATTAAGGAAACTTAATTTAACATTCCCTATGTTTCCAGTAGCTGTGCAATTCCCCCAGAGAATCAGTCCAGTCTAGTGGTTACAGAGCCGGCCGCAGAGCCAGGAAAACCTATGATTAAGACCTGCCTTTGATGCTTATTGGAACTGACCAGGGCAAAGTCAGCAACTCTTCACCACATGAAGAAGGTGCCAACCTGCATTGATAAAGAGAATGTCCCCATCCTGGAGTTCCCAATACCAATGAAATACCAGGTCCAGTGCCCATCCCTACATAATACACCTGGGCCAATTGGTTATCTTTAGGATTGCTCAACCTTTCATGTCTAAAATACATATTTAAGACATTTCTAAATACCTTGTGAATTATAGAAGCCACAAAATTCAGCAACAGTGCAACTAGAGTCTATCTTCAGCTAATCAGAAACTAGCAAAGCCTTCTTGTCAGCTAACTATTCCTGCTACTTGTTTCTTTATATGCCTCCATGACAGCTAATTTTCATGCACACACACACACACACACACACAGCTGAGTCATTTTACTTTTGCTGGGTTTTTTAATCTCTTCAGTAAAATTCTCCTTTATCTTTTAATGTCTTAAATTAGTTTGCTGGCATTGACTCATCTTCCATTTAGGAAGTAACAACTCAAAAATTTTGCCTTATAAAATCAACAGTCCTATTTAATCACCCTTTAGTCTTCAAATTGTTATACAATTTCTCATTTGAGTCTTATTTGCTTAGATATTTAAACAGTTATATGCAAATAAGCTAAAGGATCAAAATGCCTTGAGTTCTCAAATGGTCCTCTGCCATATTTTAGACTCTTAAAATTAGGCATCTTTATAGTTACATAAGTTTTTTAGTGAATAAAAGTTATTCGTCTGCCCCCTAAGCAAATTATTCATCAGCCTACATCCTTTACAAAGTGTCTTATCTTTATAGTTATGCCATAGTTCATTTTCTATCTTAAACTGCTCTAATTTCATCTGAAAACATTTTTTTTGTTTCTATATATATATATATATATATATATATATATATATACATACACAGACAGAGTAAGGATTTTAAAAATATATTACAATATTAATTTATATGGAAGTTCTGTGTTATTTTTGTCATTAGATACAAGTACTGTGATATATTTGAAAAAGTGCTGGCTTGGGATTCAGGAGAGGCCTGGATCAAAATCCTCCTTCTGACATTTCAAAAGTGGTCAAACACAGATAAGTCATGTAACTTCTTATCTGCAGGGTGGGAATGATAACTAGAGGGCCTACTTCACAGGGTTAATGTGAAGATCAACTTAGACATTACATAGGAAGTGCTTTGCCAACTTCAAAACCTTGGAAAATGGTGGCTATTATGATAATCATTACAGTCTAAGTGGCAATTGACTTCAGACCAACATTTTACCTAATGGTTAAAACTTACAAAATGTAATCATAGACACAATTCACAGAATAAGTTAGAAATACATAAAAAGTGACCTTAAAGGCTAGACCTATTTTTTTTTGCCTTTGTGTGCAAAAGTTCATATTCATAAAATCTAAAAACATTATTAAATAGCTGCTGAAAACACAAATTCTTGAAGCCATTAATTCCAAACATCACATGACCAAATCACACTGAAAATTTGGAACCAGAAAAAATGGGGGGGGGGGCAATTTGTGCAGAACAATCACAAAATATTTGAATCTGCCAGACAAATATCAATTGTCATGATAATTCATAAAACTAGTGAAAGGTCCTAATCCAGATGAATAACCCTTCTTTTTTTCTCTAATAGAGAAATATATATATATATATATATATATATATATATATATGCATATATATATATATATACATACATAATTTATTTAGATTTGTACTTTTACCAGTGTTTCAAGTTTATTTTAGACTATGACATCCATGAAGCTCCTTTATTCCAAGACACGTCATTTAAATAGGTCTGTTTAAAAATCCTGGCTCCAGATGATGGCATTTCTAGAGTAGTTTCTACATTGAAATGATAATTGAAAAATAAGAAAAAGAGATAGAGGAAGGCTCCAGTACACTGAGTGGCTCCTCCATGGAATTCCTTTGGGAGAATATGGACAAGAATTACATGGTAGCAGAAGGTGTGGCTGGGCTAGGATCCACATTATGGAAGGCATAGTCACGTCGCTTCTACAGAAGATACATAAAAATGGATCAGAGTAAGGAACGTCTTATAAGGGATCTCAGGAACCATCTAGTCCAGAAGTTCTTAGTCTGGGGCATAAAGGAAAGTGTATGGATTTGAGGGTCCATGAATTTGGGTGGCAGAAAATGCAACTTGATTTTCACTAACCTCTAACTGAAATTTAGTATTTCCTTCAATTACATATGTGTATATGTATGTATATTAACATTTTCGTATTTCTTTATCCTCAGAAGGGGTCCATAAACTTTACCAGATGGCAAAAGTGGCTCTACATCACACAGAGGAAGGTTAATGAACCCAGACCTAGTCTCTTACTGAACTCCGACTGAAAAAGGAACCCCCATTACAATATACCTAACGAAGGATTATATCAAGTGGCCATTGCTTGAAGACTCCAAGTGAGTGGGAACCCACCATGGCCCAAGGCAGCCATTCCATTTATGGCTACCTTCACGTATGTTATCTCATTTGCTACGACAGCCACATGAGAGGAAGGTACCACTTTGTACAAGGCAGCTAGGGAACACTAGACTTCAAGAAAAGAAAAGCTGAGTTCAAATCTAGCCTCAGACGCTAGCATCGTGAATCTGGGTACTTCTCTTGATGTCTCTCAGTCTCTAAATTGGGGACAACGATAGCACCTACTTCCCAAGGTTGTTCTGAGGAGTAAATTAAATCAAGTTAGTAAAAGCGTTTTGCAAGCATTAAAGAATTATATTAAAATACTATTTACTACTACTACCAACCACTACTACTACTACTACTACTACTACTACTACTACTACCACTACTACTACTGCTACCACTACTACTACTACTACTATCACTATCCGAATTATAGAGATAAGGAAACTGACGGACAGAGAAATTAAGTGACTAGCCCAAGGTCACAGAGCTAGTAAGTGTTTGAGACAGAATTCATAATGCTCCTGACTTTAACTCAATTGCTAGGTAGCTGCCTTGTGCGCATATGCACTCAGGAGCAATAGTTTGATGGATGTCATTAGAGAAAGACTTAGTCATTGACACCCCGGGGAAAAACAATCATAGATTAATAAAAGCAGCCAATCAGTGTTTTAGCATTTGAAGCAGAAACTCTGTCCTGGGAATCTTCCTCCAACTCTTGATGGACGGAAGGAAAGAAGCATTTTTTTCAGAAGCTACTATGCTTCAGGCACTGTGCTAAGTGCTTTATAAAAATATTATTTGATCTTCAAAATAACCTTGAGAGGTAGGTATTGTTATTATACTCATTTTACAGGCTGTAAAACTGAGGTAGATAGAGGTTTAAATGGCTTGCCTACCGTCACACAGCTAGGAAGTGTCTTAGGCTGTTTCTTGAACTCGTCTTCATGACTTCAAAGCCAGTGCTCTATCCGTTGTATCACCTAGATGCCTCTAACATGGAGTGATTATCAACAGAGCAAGTGGGCTAGCTGTTGATTACCCCCTTTCTCTCTCTACTTGAGGAGCCAAGCTCTCTAGTCAGCCATCTCTTGGAGAGTCACATGTTTCCAGTGCAATTGTCGGGTAGTGATAACTACCTAGGTAGCACAGTGGATAGAATGTCGGTCCTGGAGTCAGGAAAATTCATCTTTCTGAGTTCAAATCTGGCCTCAAACACTTACTGGCTATGTAACCCAACTTAACCCCATTTCCCTCAGTTTTCTCATCTGTAAAAAGAGCTGGAGAAGGAAATGGCAAACAGCTCTAGTATCTTTGCCAAGAAAACCCCAAATGGGGTCACGAAGAGTTGGATGTGACTGAAAAATAACTAAAACTTTTAAAAAATGGTTTCCAACCTATTCATACCAAGCTTCCTTGTTATCACGGGAGCATTAAAACTGTCATTCCAATTTTTAATTCTTAAGTTGCCTCATTGTCAAGGTAATTAGCTAAATGTCCATTAAATTCAACCATAGAACAGTAAATTGCTTTTTCAGTTCCAAAACCTACAGGAGGACAAATTTGAGAGAGTCCTCAGAAGGGACCTAGGATGCCCCACACTTAAACAAGAAACCCTCCTACAACACAGACAATTAGTGATCATGCAAGCTTTTCTTGAAGATTTTCAATGAAGGGGAACCCACTACCTCCCTAGACTGGTCATCTCCCGGGAGAGATCTTGAAACTGCCTAAATCAACATCAGCGAGAAATAATGGATCTAAGCAAACAAAATGAAAACAATGACTTCCAGGACCCCATAGTGGTGGGAAGGATAATGAGGAGACCAACTCCCCCACTGAGGTGGACAATGGAAAGCAGATCGGTGAGACCTCCAGAATTGATGTCCCCCAAGAAAAGGGCAGATCCCATTTTAGCTTACCGGCATGAATGTTTTCCTTGTGTTTTTTCAGTGTGTCTTTACTTCTGAATCTCTTTCCACAGCCCTCGGCCTTGCAGATGAATTGGGGGTCCCCTCGGCATGCCTCTCTGTGCTGCTGCAAACTAGAATGGGAGTCAGTAAAAGAGGGGATGGAGAGGCGAAGGGAAACAGTGAAGAACGGCCCACCAAACTCAGCCTCCCAGTAGGCCTGAGGAGTAGGCCCCGTGTGGGAGCCTCCCAAGGCCTCAGGCTGCATGCATTACCTAAAGCAGATGAGCAGAAAAGGGCTTAGGCTGTCTGACCATGTGCCATCACAGCCTACGAAGCGCAAAAGAGGCATGCAAAGACTGTTCAGCAAGGACAGGAGAGCCAGGAGGCCAACAACTCAGACACAAAACCTCGATTCTGAGCTCAGGGATGTATTGCAAACAGAACAGCGGAAAGTCTTCAGGGAATCCCCAGGGGAGCTCTTCTCCATGCAGTGAAGGATGCTGAGGAGAAAAGGAGAAAAGAAAAATGAACAGCAGGAGAAAATAAACATGTCTGGGGGGAAAACATTCTGAATGCAAGGGAATGATAATAATTAGGCATATAGCTTTAGGGTTTGCAAGGAATTTGTTACCTCATTTGACACCCCCCCCCAACAACCCTGTCTAAGGCAAGATTCAAACTCGGGCTGTCTTGACTCCAAGTCTAGCATTGTTCCCATCATAGCTGCTGCCCAATCAGGAAGGAAGCATCCCTCCACTGAAACCCAGCAACCCTGGATCTCTGGCCTATGTTGTCCTCAAACTAAGTTATCAGCCTATAGATACCAAACTCTTTTAAGCCAAATCATACAGTGCTCAGTGAACCACCTAGGAATAAGAAAGCTCCAGTCACTAATAGAGTAAGGGTCTGCATGTCTTACACCCATTTTTCAATAAAAGAAATTGATCTACCTTCCTTCCTCCTTCTCTCTGTCTCTCCCTCCCTCTCTCTCTTTCTTCCTTCCTTCCTTCCATCTTTCCTTCCTTCCCTCCTCTCTCTCTGGCTCTGCCAATGTCTTTGTCTCTCTGTCTCTGTCTCTCTCTATCTCCCTTTCTCTGCATCTCTCTCTGTGTCTCTCTCTGTCTCTCTCTGTCTCTGTCTCTGTGTGTCTCTCTGTCTCTCTGTCTCTGTCTGTCTCTCTCTCTCTGTCTCTGTCTCTCTCTCTGTGTGTCTCTCTCTGTCTCTCTCTCTCTGTCTCTGTCTGTCTCTCTCTCTCTGTGTCTCTGTCTGTCTCTCTCTTTGTGTCTCTCTCTCTGTCTCTCTCTCTCTCTGTGTCTCTCTCTGTCTCTCTCTCTGTCTCTGTCTCTGTCTCTCTCTGTGTCTCTCTCTCTGTCTCTCTGTCTCTGTCTCTCTCTCTCTCTCTCTCTGTCTCTCTCTCTCTCTGTGTGTGTGTGTCTCTCTCTCTCTGTCTCTCTCTCTCTCCCCTTTCTTTGTACCTATCTCTCTTAACCTCTTTTAGCCTCTGGTTTCTCATCTCTAAAATGGGGATGACAATAAAACCTACCTCCCCGGGGTGTTTTGAGAACTGTCTCTGTCTCTGTCTCTCTGTTTCTCTCTCTCTCTCTCTCTCTCTCTCTCTCTCTCTCTCTCTCTCTCTCTCTCTCTCTCTCTCTCTCTCTCTCTCTCTTCCTGTATCTCTCTGTGTCTCTCTCTCTGTCTCTCTCTCAGTGCCTCCTCTGATGGATTTCTGGATCTTCTTGCCTTTGAGTGATGAAAGGACAGCTAAAAGTCCCATAAACAGAAGGCAAAGGAGCCTAGGTGACAATAGCCTTGATATAAGACCCAGGACATTTCTAAACTTCACTTGAATGGGACTTAGGAAGAAAGAATCGTTCTGAAATGCCTCAGCAATCGGCCTTGCAGTCACTCCCGATGGTCTCGGCTCCCACTCTGCTTCTGACTGTACTAGCTGTGACCCCGGTTAACCTCCCAGTGCCCCAGGCAGGTCTCAGAGACAAAATGTAAGGATCATATGATCAGCGGTAGATCTGCATTAGAGGAGAGGCTTTTCCCACCAGGAGTTCCCCACACAATGAAATCAAAGGTTTGGGCCAAGATTGAAAAACAACATTACTAATTTTTAAGAACATAAAAAAGAATTGAGAAAAATGTGGTTTGTCCTGGTACTCTGTAGCAATGATTTTAATCTAGGTCATCTGCAATGCAATTATATTCCAAGAAGGCATTTGGGTAGTGGGGAGAATTCAAAGCCTCGGTTTGGAGTGCAGATTATGACACTGACCAGCATGTGAATGTTGACAAGTCACCCATCAAAACCAAGCTGTAGTTTTCTCCTCTTCAATAAAACAGCAGCAGCAGCATCTATACAGCACTTTGGCTGGGAGTCAGGAAGACTCGTCTTCCTGAGTTCAAATCCAGCCTCAGACACTTACAAGCTGTGTGACCCTAAGCAAGTCACTTATCCCTGTTTGCCTCAGTTTCCTCATCTGTAAAATGAACTGGAGAAGGAAATGGCGAGCTACTCCAGTATCTTTGCCAAGAAAATCCCAAATGGGGTCACAAAGAGTTTAAATAACAACAATAAGGCTTATAATGAACCTTACAAATATTCTGTCATTTTTCTCCACAGTAGCCTAGGAGGTAGGTGCTTTCCTGAGAGTAAACTTGTGTGGTAATTGGTATCTTTTTAACCAGAGCACTGAGCCTGGAGTTAGCAAAACCTGAATTCAAATCCTGCCTCAGATACTTCACTAGCTGTATGACTGTTGGGGAGTCACTTAACCTCTGCTTGCCTCAGTTTCCTCAATATTATTTATATAAAATTATTTGTATTATTTTATATATTTATATTATTTGTATATTACATTTTATTTTATTTATATATAATTATATATAAAATTATATATTATATAATATATTATTATATATTTATATTGCATCCCCAATATTATTTATATAATGTATTATTTTATCATTCTACAGATGAGGAAGTTGAGGCCAAGAGAGGTGAAATGACTTGCCCAGGATGGCAAGGCCGGTACGTGTCTGAAGCAGGGTTTAGATTCAGGTCTTCCTGACCCCACTAGCTGTTTTCTATGGGTAATGCTACTTTGTTGTCTCACTATTAATGAAGCTAACAGAGATCTAGCAGCCCGGTGGATCTTTCTGCTCCAGATTTCCCCCCTATTCCTCACCTTCTCCTCCTGGAATTCTCAGCTTTCCTCAAGGCTCAGCTCAGGTGCCTTTTTTGATCCCTGCAGAGTTTTCCACTAGTTTCCTCTGGCAATTGCCTTATTTCCATTGTACTTGTCTTTTAACCACCCCTCTGGGTCCAGGGTTCATTCTCACCCCGCTCCCACCCCGTAAGAGAATGAAAATTCCTTGAGGGCAGGGACTCTTACATTTTTGTCTTTGGGACCCCAGTGATGCCTGTGCCACAGAGTAGGTACCCAAGAAATGGTATATTGAAATCAGTCAAGGATTGACAGATTGAGCCAAGAAAAGCCCTGTTTCTGGCCTTCAGAATGATAATCCAAAATGCTAATTCATAAGCAAGAGGGGGAATGCCTAGACCAGAGGCTGGGGGACAAAGAGCTACATTAAACCAGCCACCCGCATGAAAGACATGCTCCCACTGTTTAGTGAAAGGCACTCTGGGAAGGGGATGGGCCTTGGTACTCACTGTCTCTGTAAAGCTTGCTTCACTGGGAATTTCTTCCCACAGTTCTTGCATTTGAATTCCTTCTCCTCACTTGGCTTTTGATGAAGCATCTGCAGGTGTTCAGCCAGGATCTCCTGGCTGGCAAAGCTGGATTCACAGTGGGGACAGGCATGGTCCTTCTTACAGCTTGGAGAATCTGGGAACAAAGCACAGAGAGAAACATGATTATTTGTGGTCAACTTGGGTGGCAGACCCTCTGCCCCAGTTTTAGAAATTAAAATCCATTTTCTTCATGAGCAACAGTGACCAGCTATGCACTCCTTTGTCATTTTATAGTCAATAATTTAATTTGATTTATTTTTTAAAAGCATTTAGGAAGAGACAGCGTTAGCATAGGTGGTGGAGAGGCAGACCCAGGTCCAAGTCACACTGACTGTTTGACCCTGGGCAGATAGAATACTGAACTTCTGAGGGCTCTAGGCAACATTTGAAGGGTAAACATTGCAGAGAAAGAACCAACCTGCATTAAGATAGGGAGTCTCCTGGCTGAGGAGGTCCTCCTAACCACAACACCATAGCTTTTGTCCCCATTCCTATCATCTGTCAGTCAACAAACACCTACTAAGCACCTATTATATTCCCAGTGCTGGGAACTACATGTACCCTGCACATCATTCTCTAGGGAAAATAGTGTCCAGATATGGAAAAGAAGCATACATTTCTGAAGTCATCTCATTTAAACACCCAAACACAGCAAGTCCATGTTGAAGAGTAAGGAGACATTTTAAATCAATTGATTCTTATTTATTAAGTGTCTTCTGGAAATGTCCAAACATCTCCTGAACTTCAGAAGGCACAAGTTTATTGTTGGGTCTTGGAACACTGATCTGGACTAAATGGAAACAAACAAACAAGCAAACATGCCCACAAAAATGGGCTACAAAATCTGGGTGTGCCCCAGCATCCTAGCAAACTAGAGGTGGTGGATATGAGTCAGGAGAACACCCCATCAGGTCGTCTCAGAGGAGATAATAATTTCATTGAACTGAAAGCTGGAAAGGATTTAGGGAACCATCTGGTTCTACCTCCAAATGGTACGGAGAAATAAAGCAAATCTGTTCATTCAGGGATGGTTCACTTACCCAAGGTCACACAGATTGTCATTTCCAGGGTAGGGATTTAAGCTCAAGTCTTCTGACTGAATCCAATGCCTTTCTACTGCACACCTAGACTATAGGTTTAAACTGAAGTAGAGGTGATCTGCAGTCACTAAGAAGTCAGCCATGGAAATTGTGTGGCCCTCTGGAGAGGTTTACAACAGGGATGGAGCAGTGGATGTGGTGGCAGAAGACCTGGGTGTCCAAAGTCTGTCTCTCAAATTTACTAGCTGTGTGATCATGAGTAAGTCATTTAATATTTCTGAGCCTTGGTATCCTCATCTAGAAAATTGGAAGAAGAATAATAAATACTAGCATTTACCTAATACTTCAAAGCTTGCAGACAATCTCCAATACTAGACAGTGCCTCAGACATCAAGGCCAGGTAATTTCCAGGAGCCTGTCACTACACAGTATTATCTGATCCTCAAAACAAAACCTTGTGGGGAAACTGAGACAGACAGAGGTTAAGTGACTTGCCCAGGGTCACACAGCCAGTATGTGTATGAGGCAACCCCATGCTACCTAGCTGTTTTTTGTTTTGTTTTGTTTTGTACAGACTAAGTAAAAAAGAAAAAAAAAGGTAGTTAGATAAACACCATTTGAGAGATGCTCAATTCATGACACCTGAAAGAAATCAGACTCGTAAAACGTAACCCATCCATTTTTTTGAGCAGCTGACTTTAATGCAACTTGATAACAGTGGACTTTCTTGTTCACACACCACAACGTGAATGGGTGAGTACCTTTCGCATGAGCTGGTGGGGTTTTTCTGGTATGTTTCCCATGAGCCTCTTTGTTCACAGCTGTTTCCTCCACGTCTTCCTCTTCCTCCTCATCCTCTTCCATATCACTGTCCAGATAGCCAATCAAAAGCTCCGTGTCTGTCTCTATATCTTCCACCGCCAAGTAGAAAATGTTTTCTCCTTCCTGAGGCCAGCAGAAAGAAATACACAGTGATGTTAGTTAGATGAACTAAATCACAACAGTCACCCTTCCCACGTGCTTTGTAGTTACAGTAGAGAGGCAAAGAATTTGTGGAGAAAGAGAGCAGGCCTGGAAGCCCGGGAGACCAGACTTCAAGTCTCACCTCTGATGCATACTGGCTGTGAGACCCTAAGCAAGTACTGAACCTCCCAGAACACTAAAATCAAGTTGCAGAGGGGTGCTGACTTCTACTGGTAGAGGGAGCTTCCTCGTCTGGGAGTTCTCTACACCAATAAATTGACAAATATTCTCCCTTTCCTTGTAGCTTTATCAAAGCAAAGTATTGTATACTAGACATCACTTCATTTAGATATCATAACCATCTTGTGACTTTCAAGGTTTATTGTCTCCTTTTTACAGGAGATGGGAGAATGAATAGAGACCCATAAGACTGTAGTCAGTAGAAAGTACTCTCCTCACGAGCAGGGGATTTAGTATATTGCAGTGAATGAAGGAAACAGCCCAGAAAAGGCCAGATGATAATTAAAGTCATAAGGAACAGCTAGGTGGCAAAGTGGTTAGAGCACCAGGCCTGGAGTCAGAAAGACTCCTCTTCCAGAGTTCAAATCCATCTTCAGACATTCACTAGCTGTGTGATCCTGGGCAAGTCACTTAACTTACATCTAACTTACCTAACTGAAATTAATTTAAGTCACTTAACCCTGTTTGTCTCAGTTTTCTCATCTGTAAAATGGGCTGGAGAAGGAAATGGGAAACCACTCCAATATCTTTGCCAGGAAAACCCCAAATGGGGTCACAAAGAGTCAAACATGATTGAAATGACTGAACAAGAAAAAGGGTCACACAGAGAGTATGTGGCCAGTGAAGATTTGAGTCTACATCCAATAGTCTCACACATACACACACACACACACACACACACACACACACACACACACACACACACACATGCACACACACACACACTTCACCCAACTGTTTCCAAATACTGGCAGATAGTTAATGGATTGGTATGAGTCATTTGATTTTATTGTTGTGCTGGGTGTGTGCATGTGGATGGATGGATGGATGGATGGACGGATGGATGGATGGATGGATGGATGGATGGATGGATGGACAGATGTTTTAAAATGCAGGAAGAGGGAGACAATTTTGTTAAAACCTCTTCTTTGCCTTTTGGCATTGTTTATAATAACCATATTGATACTGATATTATTTAATCCTTTGGAGTACCAACAGTTAGATTAACATTTTCAGACATTCAGACATTTCAGATATTATTAAGCTTAGGATAAATGAATTCCCTCCTTTGAACTCACTCATCCCCCACAACCACCATCACCAAATTAGACATTTAGCAGAAGCAGGTATCCCTTTGTAAAGGACCAGAGACCCTCCTCTTCTGTCTAGAACTGTGATTTCTGGGGTGATTTCTTATTTCTTTCACTTTGCCTTCAGAGGGAACCTCCAGAAACTAGACCCCTAGTTCCAGGGAAATTAATCCACTCTGCTTTTAACTCCTGCCCTGGAGTAAAGCTGAGCTGAACTGATTGGTGAGTGAGTATATGAGCACAAATCCAGCTAGCTCACTTCACTTTAATGAGGGACCTTGCCCCAAACAGTCATCTACAGCAGGCATCTTCTTGGAATGTGCCGGCCCTTTCTACATCTTGCTTGAGATAAGGAATACAATCAGCCGCCCACTAGCTCCACTCACCATTCCTGTGACCACCCAGAGCAAAACTCCCTTCCCTGGCCCCACTCCCCTAGATAGGTTAACCCAGCCTACTGCATGTGACCTTCCAGAGAGTAGGGAACTTCTCACAGTTGTGTTTGTTTTCTTGGTACCTAGCACAGTGCCCAGAATATAAGAAACAATTAAGAATTTTTTTTCAAACTTCTTTCACTCCAATTTATTATAAATAGGCAACTAGGTGGCACAGTGGATAGAATGATGGGCTTGCAATCAGGAAGCCCTGAGTTCAAATCCAGCCTCAGACACTTACTAAATATGAGACTCAGGGAAAGTCACTTGACCTCTGTCTGCCTCAGTTTTCTCAAATATAAATGAGGATAATAATAGCCCTACCTCCCAGGGTTTTTGTGAGAATTAAAAGAGATGATATTTTTCACGCACTTAGCACAGTTCCTGGCACATAGCAGGAACTCAGTATATGCCTGTTTGCTTCCTTCCTGCCTTACATTCTTCCTTCTTAAACACATCACAAACTCCTCTACCCGTAGGAATTTCCCTATCAGCATAGCCCCTCTAGGAGATTGGCAGGGAAGGCAGGTAGAAGTCTATGGCCATCTCCCCTAGGGATACTTGCCCCCTTTAACTATCATTTGTAGATGACTTTACCACACTCACCCATGTCATATAAATACTACTGAGACACAGTCTCCCCAAGATTCATTCTTCCTGAATCTCTGTGATTCATTCCTTCCCTTTCTATTTCCAATGCCACATGGTCCCAACAATCAAAGCCCTGGGGTAGTTTCCACAGATTCCTAGGACAATGATCTGGCCATTTACCCAAACAGGATCTTCTTTTCTTGTGTTTCATTCACCACTTTGTGAGTCTGGAGAGCTCTCCACACTGGGGCCTATGTATGAATACCCAGGGGGGTGTCCCTCGATGAACAGGGGAACCCAACATCAGAGGGCTTACTCACTTACCTCCCTATCTCCCCATGCCAGAATCCATTCTAGTACCCAAGAAGGTATGGGTAACTGTTAGTAGACAAAGCTGGCTGCTTCTTGAGCCATTCACATGGCTGTGTTTAGGCACTTGGCTGTGGGAAGCTATCCTTAGTATTTCTTATTATTAGGCTTAGGATACAGGAATTCCCTCCTTTGAACCCACTCATCCCCCACAACCACCATCACCAACTTAGACATTTAGCAGAAGCAGGTATCCCTTTGTAAGCACTAGAGACCCTTCTCTTCTGTCTAGAAGCCAAGTATGTGGGGGCTGAGGACCTAACACAACAAGAGAACTGTGTTGAAGTAAGGAATACCTCCCTAGCATTTTCATCAGTCTTTATGTTTATCAGATTAATAACCAGAAAAGTTAATAGAAGCATCTTCATGGCCTAGCAGGCCATATATCCACCCTTCAGAACATGAGGATAAGATAATGATTTTTAATTTTGTAACCTAAGATGAATTGAAACTGTCATTAGAAAATGCAGGGTGGTGAACAGTTGGGCAGCTTTGTAATAAAATGAGAAAATGTTAATATCTCTGTTAAAACTATTTAACTCAATAAACTTGTTGGCAGCACTGCAGCCTCCAAGGAGCAGGCACATTTGCATCTCTTTATACTAATCATGGAATATGAAAACAAATGCAATTATATCTATTGCTGTGAGGAAGAGGTTTTGTGGTGAGGACTCAGTTGGCATCAATACAACCTTGCTGTCACCTCCTGCATCAGCAGGCTCCCACTCATTCCTCAATTTCCAGCCTTATGTGCTTCAGGGAGGCTTCATTTACTGACAACTAAATTAAAAATAAATCAACGGGGGGAGCAGATGAAATGAGAAAAGGGACTGAACTTCTTATCTCTGGCAGAGATATGAGGAAGGTGGCTGGCAGAAACTTACATGAAATCGACTTCTAAGTGCCTCTTGGGTGAGAGACAGCCCGTGGTGTTGGACAGAAAGCTGGCTTTGGAATCAAGAGGATGTTGGCTCATTTCTTAACAATGCTTTACATCCTAGGACCATGGAGTTAATGCTGGAAGGGACCTTCAAGGTCTTCTCATCTAACTGCCTTATTTTGTCAGAGACATTGTGATTTGCTTAAGGTCACAGAGCTTATAAGCAGTAAAATCAGCATTTGAATGCAGGTCTCCTGACTCTTCCCACTATGCCACACTAGCCTCTGATGTCTGTGCCAGTTACAAGACAAGGCAAATCATTTGACTTCTCTGAGACTCAGTTTCCTTTTCTACAAAATGAGAATAACAACAATAATATTAATAATATTAATTCATGACCATATTAATGAATTAATATTGATGATAATATATCCAGATGTGTGAAAATTAAACAGAGGTAATTATATACATCATTTTTGCAAACATTAGAGCTACATTGATGTCAGTGGTTATTATCATCAAAATCACAGAGAGTCACATAGAATGGGAACAGGCTTTTTATCTATCTTTGTCCAGAGACACCAAATTTACCCATCTAGCCAACCTGGAAAATGAGGGGCTAGCCACAGGCGGACTTGTATGAAAAGCAGTCCAAAAGGCACTACTCACCATTCACATCTTCCATGTGCCCTTATTTCCTCCCTCTTGTTCCACCAGCGTGAATGTCTCTCCTTCCCCAGTTCCTGACTCTAAAGCTTTGTAAATCCTTTTTCGTTTATTTGGGGCTTTTTGTCCAGATTTGTGATTTTGACTGATGTGCAGAACTTCCAGTATGGAAATTCCCTAAATAGCTACTGATCAGCAACTCTTCCATAACTTAGATTCCTGGAGAGGTTCTTGGAGCCTTGAGAAGTTCAGTGATTTGGTCACTGAGCCAACATGTCCAACGAAGCAAACATAACCCTAGTCTTGCAACTGGCCTTCTAGCCAGTCCTGAGACCATGTGGCCTCACTGAAACCCCACGTGTTCTGAGAAACAGTATGGCGCAGTGGATGGGAGGCCAGACTGGGAGTCAAAAAGCCACATGTTCAAATCCCAATTTAGATACTTACTGGCTGTGAGACCCTGGAAAAGTCACTGAGATTCTCTGAAGATCTTATGACAGTGAAGTGAGATAACATTTGTAAAATGCTTAGCACAGTGCCTGACACATAGTAGGGACTTAACAAATAATTATTTCCTTCTTTTTTTCTTTTTCCTTCTTTCCTCCCCCCTCCCTCCTTCCTTCCTTCTTTTTTCCCTTCCTTCTGTCTTTCCTTCCTTCCTTCTTTCCTGGTGTTCCCAGCACTTAGCACAGAGTTCAGCATATTGTGAAT